TTTGGTGGAAGCCTATCACGAGGATCCGTTCATGTCTGAGACCATCCGCAGACTCGAGGCGAAAGACAAAGTGACTTCCGCTGAGTTTGAGTTGGTCAACGACTTTCTGTTCCTTGAGAAGGCTGGGAATAAACGTTTGTGTGTTCCTAATAGGGAGTCTTTGCGTAGTTTATTTTTAGGTGAATGTCATGATGCCATAGGACATTTTGGATTCAAAAAGATTGCGGCAAATCTGTTGCAGCGGTTCTGGTGGCCCATATTGATGAGAGATGCTAAGTTGTACGTGGAGACTTGTCAAGTCTRTAAGAGGGACAAGCCACGTACTCAGGCTCCTCTTGGCTACTGAAGCCCCTTCCGATTCCGGAAAGGCCTGGTGAGAGCCTATCCATGGACTTCATGGATACGCTGGTCACCWGCAAGAGTGGAATGCGCTACATCTACGTCATTGTGGATAGGTTTAGTAAGTTTGCTAGATTAGTTGCAATGCCGGCAACAGCTAAAACAGAGTACGTGATTAAGATGATCAAAGAGAATTGGGTTAGAGACTTTGGATTACCTAAGTCCATAGTTAGTGACAGGGATGTCCGATTTACGAGTGAGGTGTGGAAAGTAGCAGCCGCAGAGCAAGGCACGCAACTGCAGATGACATCAGGCAATCATCCTGAGGCAAACGGGGAAGCTGAACAAATGAACTGCGTTGTACAACACCTGCTAAGGCATTACATCAAGCCAAATCAGGTAGATTGGGATGAGAAACTTGCTCTCATTGCAAGTTTGTACAATAATGTCGTGCACAGCGCAACCAGAGTCAGTCCATATAGCTTGCTACCGACTTTCAGACCCCGAGTGCCTTTAGACTTTCTACTACGTGACAATCAGCCGAATGTTGCACCTGGGACCTTAAAAATGCAGCAGGCTGTTGCACAGATGCACAAGGCACAGGCGGCGATGATAGAGTCTGAAAACAAACACCGCCGTCAATCCACGTTTCAGGTGGGAGAGAGAGTCTGGGTCAAGTCCTTAGAACTGGGACAGGAGCACGGGATCTCCCGCAAGCTCATGCCACAGTACTTTGGACCATGGGAGGTATTAGATGCCGTGGGGAATGAACCAGATCGCCCGTCTTATGTCATTCGCATCCCTGGTCACTTACGCATTTACCCTGTCTTTCACGCCTCCAAGCTTGCACCTTTCAAGGAAACAGATCAGTTTCCTTCTCGACGCTCAATGCTGCCCCCAACCATGGATGGAGAGGTGGATATAGACGACATCGCGGATCACAGGGAGCTGCCCGTTCCAAGACCGACAGACAGGGGACGTCCTCCGAAACCGAAGCTGCAGTACCGAGTTCGGTTCCGACATCATCGGGATCCAAAGGAGGACCGCTGGTTCACTAGGGAGGAACTCATGCAGTCCGCTCCTCAGATCGTAGCTCAATATGAGAAATCTCTGCAGAAGGGAAAGCGCCACATCCTCGAAGAATGAACTTCTCAAAGGACTAGTGAAGTTATGGAGGAGGGAATGCGAGGCATATGCCCCTATGAGCCCCATTCAGGCCCTGCCAAGTATCACGTCGGCCGCCCTAAGTGAAGGCAGAAGGCATATGCCCCTATGAGCCCCATTCAGGCCCTGCCAAGTATCACGTCGGCCGCCCTAAGTGAAGGCAGGCACGACGAGGGCCTGAGGGCCCCTATTTTGGTCACCACGCAACTCAAGGAAATTCAGGCAGTTGCGCANACGTCGGCCGCCCTAAGTGAAGGCAGGCACGACGAGGGCCTGAGGGCCCCTATTTTGGTCACCACGCAACTCAAGGAAATTCAGGCAGTTGCGCAGCGCCAGTTGGTTGAGAAAACCCAGGCCCTGGGCCGAGTATGTGAATGTATGGAAAGCAGGCCCTGGGCTGGGTACGGGTACTGGGCCAAACACAGGCCGTTGACAGTTGGGCGCGAGCAACCGCTACAGGCCCAAGGCCTGAGTTGTGTTGACTGGGCCTCAGCCTACCGGGGCCTACCGGAAGCTTCTTGGGAAAGGCCCTGCGCAGCCTAGGACAAGCAAGCTGGCAGGCCACTTCCATATAGCAAAGGGCCTGCCTCCACATTGGGTATTTGGGTGCTGGCTGCATGCTGCGCAAGCGCTGCTGCGCTGTAGCTCGTTGGCACTCACGCGCTCACGGGCGATCAGGAAGGAGCAAGCAGCCATAGCCAAGCTGCGCTGCTGTAAACTGGGTGTGGCGCTGGGTGGTCCTTGGGTGCAAGTGGCATCTGTGTGTTGGGGAACGAGGTTGTGAGTGAGGCGAGAGACATACCTGGTGCTTGAAGCGTGCGACATTGGTCGATGTATGCTCGTACTTCGGGAAAGTTGTTGTCGTCATCATTCGGCATTGTAGTCTAGGCTAGATAGGATCTGCCATCTGTAGTTTGGGCGTGGAGCGCCAGATAGGATATAAACATTGGTTCTTCATTGATGATGATGATGAGACTTTACCAGCATTGTCAATTATGAGCTCTTGGTGTCTTCTTATTTGGTGAAACTCGTGAAGCAATTTTGTTGTTGGTTCGAGGTCACGACTATCTGGTCTTGTGTATATGATGCTGTTTGATTGTTGAGGTTCGCTATTGCTCATCGTCCTTGCAGGAGAGAGAGGATTAGAAGAAGAAGAAGAAGTAAGAAAGAAGAAGAAGATGATGTACACCAGCATAGACAATTGACAAGGCTCTTCTTCTTCGCCCAACAATCTCCTCCTCCTTATCTCCCCCTTCTCTTATTCATACAAGAAATAATAATACAATGTTGAATAGCTGATCCAGAATCAATGTTTGAGTCCCTCTTCTACTGCAGGTATCACTTGAGGTCCACCATAGCCATGGCCACCTCCCCACTCTTCACTCTCATAGGCCGAGGCTATGGCGGACTACTAGGCCTTGCCCAGATGCCCAAACGACAACCCAAAGCAGCTATGGCTGCTCTAGCTCAGGCCGCCATGCCTGACCCAGCCTTGAAGCTTCTTGGTGTGCTCTCCCCAGTTGGGGACTCCCTGCTGCAGCGCCCACCAAGGTGATGAAGATGGCTGCCACCATAGCCAGGTAAGTACCCCGGGTGCTCTTCCCCCTTCCTTCCTTCTTCCTCCCTCATGTGCTTCTCCTTCCTCCACAGCAGCGCTGCCCCAGCATAGCGCTGCTCCAACCAGCGCTCCACCAA